AAAAAAAAGAAAAAAAAATCGGAATAACGTCGTAATCGTGTAATTTTTATTTTTTTTTTCTATTTTTTTTAAAAAAAATGTGATTTTTTTTTTCCAACGATATAAATATTATACAATAAAAAGCACAAAAGTGCGAATACACAGGAGCCAATCACTTTAATTTTTTTCAAATTTGAAAGATTTTTGATAATTTTTTCCAAATTGAACACACAGGTAAGGACAGCAATAATGTTTGCAGTTGTAAATGTGTTATTTTTTGGGGCAGCTTTAGTAGTCACATATTTGATGTTGAATGGGGACATAAGGATTGATGCAATTGGACTCATGAGTTCAGCTTTCAACATTATTATGTATGCTTCACCTCTTGCAGCCATGGTAATTAATCACTAATTCTTCACAATTTTCTTATTTTATTTTAATTTTTTGGGAATTATAATTGGATTAAAATGTGTGTATATATTGTTATTAAAATAAAAAAAATAGGATTATCAAGCTAATTAATGTTATGTTTGGTAGACCAATAAGCTAGCTTTTAACTTATTTGATTAGCTTATAAGCTCCCTGTATTTAAATAAGCCTCGTTTGGTAGGACGAGCTTATTTGATAAGCTTTTTAAGGTAGCTTTTCAAATAAGTTTGTTGAAATTTTTATTTCAGCTAGTTTATCAGCTAATTTTACTAAACACTTTTATCATATAAGCTAGTTTTTCAGCTATAAGTCATAAGCTCGAAAATTACTTGTTGACGAGTGTTTTCGGTCAACGGTTAAGATTAAGTGAATGAAAAGTACAGGACTGAGAATGAGGCCAGGATAAGGTTTAATTATAGGCTTTTATTAAACGATCACGTGGTCGGCCTCTCGTACGAGGTCGGCTCCTGTGATATTCTTACAGTTCTTACAATCCTTACAATATTAGAGAGAGAAAGTAGGGGAAAGCTTGAGTTAGTTGTGAATTCAACAACCCCAAAATAAATGAGGTGGTCTGCTATTTATAGTACTCTTAAATGGGGAACTGTTCACCGGTCTTGTCGTACAGTGGACTTGCAGAGCAGTTCGGCGCCTCCCTGACAGTTCATTAATGCGATTTGAGGTTTTCCCAATCATTGCTTGCTAAGCATTAAATGCAAGCATGGGCAGCATTTAATGTTGACTGAACGACTGTGACATGCCGTCCCATCAACGAACGATGACCTCCCAAGTGGCGAACATTCAATAACGATCGGATCGGTGCTATTCTTTGGCGGGACGGCCTCAACTCGTTCAGGTCGGCTCCTTCTTTCTGAAGATCCGCGCATCTCGGACGAACCTTTCTCCAGTCCGGCACCGGGATGAACCCTGCCCGGCCCCCATGGAGCCTGGTGCCGGGCTCGGGAAACATTCCCTTCAACCCGTCCCACACATAATTCCTCGACTCAGGTCGGCTCCTATGATCTTGACCGGCCCGGCGCTCTCTACGAGCTCGGTCCCAAACAGTTCGTGGGGCCGACCTGTTAGGTCCCTACCCGACCGATCCGGATGTCAACATTACTAATAAGCTATAAACTAGCTTATCAACTATCAACTAACTTTAACAAACATAGCCTAAATATTGACCCACTTAATTATTTAATTTTACAAAAGTTGACTCCTAAATCCTATAGATAATGATCAAGATAAAATATTTGAACAAGTGCTCAACGTGTTTTTAAAAAAAATAAAAATTTTACTGAGTTTATATATCTTTATTTAAAAAAAAAAAAAAAAGTATGACCCACATCAGAGGTGACTCTTAATTATAAATTTAATTGAGCTAACCAAATCAAATCACTGATTTAATAGATTTTTGCCAACACAAAACTATTGGATTAAAATTAACTACACATTAATCAAGTAATTAAATTAATCAAATAAAGCTAGCCTGGATTAGTTGACATTAATGGAGATTAACTAAATTAATTAGCAATTGAAATTAAATTAATACAAAATTGGTAATTTTGTTAATTGTGAGGAATGCAGAAAAGCGTGGTGACGAGCAAGAGCGTGGAATATATGCCTTTCCTTCTCTCCTTTTGCTTTTTCTTGAATGGTGGAGTTTGGTCTTTCTATGCTTTCCTTCAGCGAGACTGGTTTCTTGGGGTAAGTGGGTATAAACTAATTATTTAAAAAATTTTGGTGCGAGACGGTCTAACCGATAGTTAAATTGACATGTGATATCCCTCCCTATATATCCCTATATATTAATTCAAAACGTGTTGAGCCTATGTGGCGGATTCTCATGCTTCGGATGCTGACATGGCAAAAATCTATGCTTCGTGATGTTGTTTTATTATTATTTTTTTGTTTTGGAGTTAGGTTTGGTATTAGACATAAATAACTTTACACATATATTCATTTACTCAACCCCATGTTATACATGGGTATTAATACTAGTTTCTTTTTATAACAAAAAATACATACTTATATTATGAAATATCATTTTTGTTTATAGTATTTTACAGTATAATATTTCAGTTTGAAAGTATAAGTATCTGTTAGAAAAGTATGACAAATTCTGGTGTAAGACGGTCTAATCGCTAGTCAGGTCGATCTGTTATATTTATTTGTAACAAAAATGCATACTTATATTGTGAAATATCATTTTTGTTCATAGTATTTTACAGTATAATATTTCAGTTTAAAAGTATAAGTATCTATTAAAAAAGTATGACAAATTCTGGTGTGAGACGGTCTAACCGTTAGTCAGGTCGATCTGTTATATTTATTTGTAACAAAAAATGCATACTTATATTGTGAAATGTCATTTTTTATTTATAGTATTCTAGAATATAATATTTTAATTTATATATATACATATATTTGTTGAAGAAAGTATGACAATATTGGGATATTTCTCTTTTGATAGAGGTTTGGTTTAATCATTATGATGTTTGAAATTCATAATTAATCATAAAATAGATGTGACCACTTATATAACTTATTGTGTTCATTTCCATCACGTTGTTTGATAAAAATTGGTACAAAGGGCCACCAACGCCAGCTTGCTAGGGTCCAACTGTTTAATTTTATATATATATATATATATATATATATATTTTTTTTTGGCTGAGATTAAATTCATGCTTAAATATCTTGCTCTTCCAACCACTAAGAATTTTGTGGAGCGTCTGCAAGTAACTATTTGTGGTTTTTGTTGTTCTTATGATATTAAGATTTAATATAAAAAAAAAGGGCAATGTCTCTTGAAGTAAAAAAAATAAGAACTGTTATACTATATATTAAGATATTAATTCTAGTATAAGAAAGTTTAATTATTAGACGGTTCGACCCGTCATACTTTTTTTTTAAAAAAAAAAAAGATAAAAATGTAAATTTATAGTTTGAAATGTCATATATTTATTTATAAAAAAATTGATATTATTTACCTTGAAATGTCATAACTTTTCTAAAGTATAACATTTTATTTTAAAAATATGCATAATTAAAAAATATGGCCGCCTGACGCGCCCATTTTCATGTGATAAGGTGTTATGGTCCCGTACATTCCGTCGTGTTTGTAGTCGTTAGATCATCATGTAACCGTCCGAGATAGTTGATCTAACGGTTACAAAACCCCGATGGAATGATTCCGTAACGAAACCAAAACATCTCCCGTATTTCATTCACTAATTTTGGACCATGGATTAATATATCAAATTAAAATCTAACTAAAAAACGAACAGAACTACAACTGACAAAGGAATTACAATAACATTGTTTGGTGATGGATTTGAACAGGTACCAAATGGGATTGGCCTTGCATTAGGGACACTGCAGTTGGTACTCTACGCAATGTATTCTAATTACAAACCCTCAAAACTTCCAAAGGCTGATTTTGAGGACACAAGCCAAAACGAGCCACTGGTTTCAGCTTCACAACAATGTTGAGATTAATTTGGGGGTGTTTTATTACTTTAATCTTTCATTAATTACCTATATAAGTGTACTCATTAGAAGTGTACTTACTAGAAGGCTTTTTTTGTGGGATTATACTATTATCTCCCTGTGAAAAGTTGATTATCTCATGTGAGATTCACATGACTTATATGCATCACCAATCACTAGAGTGCTCGATTATTCACAAATTCTTGATTGATTCGGTTAGGAATGAGCAAAATTGAGCCGAAACTGAAATAACCGAGTCAAATTGTGTAATTCAAATCAGTTTTTGGTTTTTGACTTTTTTTTCCTGCCGTGCGATTATAGACATTCACAAGTTCGGTTTTCAATTTTGTTCGGTTTGCAGTTTTGCAATGAACTGCACTAAATTGAATAAAATGTATTGAAAAGTTGAGACAAAGTCAAAACCGAGAACTTAGTCGAACTGTGCATTTCTGTGCAGTGTGGTTCGGTTATTTTAGTGTAAAAAAAAAATTCTGTTCGATTTCAATTTGAGTTTTTCTAAGTTGCGGCGCGATTCGATTTTTTCTTCTAGGTTTGGTATTTTGCGGTTGTGTGCGGTCTTTCACCGAACTGCACCGTTACTGACCTCTCGATTCGGCCAGCCCGTTACTTTTACTCTGAAATGATGTATTTTAAATGTTTTTATTTTGAATACTGACATTTCAATTTGAAAATTCACAATTTCTGTTTGAACAAATATAGTTGCCTCGCTGTTAGACTGGTGAAAAGATATGGCTGCTTGGCCAATAATTTATTCATTGAAAAGCTACCCCAAGGACCTAGACATGGCCAGGTGCCGGGTTTTGGCCGGCCCGGCGGGCCACGGGCCAGCCAACCCACGAACCGCAACCGGCCCGCCAAAAAGTAAGGGCCGGTTCATAGAACCGGCCCGAACCGCCGGTTCACCGGCCCGGGTTCGGCCCTTAAAAAAATCAAAGGATTTGGTCCGGCCCGGCCCGGCCCGGCGGGACAAAACAAAAAAACCGTGACCCCTAACCGGACCGGATTGGCCGCGGTCCGGTTCTCGAACCCGGCACTATTCATGCCGGTACCGGTACCGGGCCAGGCCGGTATCGGGTCACGGGTCGGGCCACGGGCCGGACCGCCCGTAGCCATGTCTACAAGGACCACTACACAAGCATACAAAAGATCTTCATGTACGGGTTGCCGTGTGGGGCTCAAGTGTTTGTAAAGTGGGGAAAGATAGGAAAGCTGGAGACGTGTACTATATA